CTAAATAGGTCTCGTATTTTCGATAATCAGTTCGCCAAACTTTTTGTCCTAAATTTCCGTGCAGAAGTCTTGGGCATATATAAGGTTACCGTATTTCCTCTATTTAGCCCCAGACCTTTTATCTCTTCAATTAGCGCCCCTCCTCTTCAATTAGCCCCTAGTCCAAAGTGCTGAAAAAACAACAGAACGAAACACAAAAAGTTCTATATAACATTCACTGATAATACTGCGTATATACCGTTCACTGATACAGCAAGTACACCCTTCCAGAAAATACGCCATCTTGGCAACAGAGCCTCGTTTTCATGATTGAGATGTTGGGATTTAACTAATCTTACATACACGAAAACGAGGCTCTTTAGCCAAGATGACGTACTTTCCAGAAGGATGTAGTGTAGGTAAATTTTATGAAAATTTTTTTAAACTGTAATGATCATTCTGTCTGAGCTTAAATTTTTAAAAGAACGTCTTTTAGCACTCTATTTCTCCCCTCCCACAGTCCAGAACCACTAGAAAAAATATGCCCCTAGAGGCTAAATAGAGGAAAGACGGTGTGCAGCCTATCGTTCACAGACACAGGTTTTTAGGGTTTCAAAGGTTTGCACGTATATGCGGGGTAAATAGGGAGATAATTGTAGAAACAATGTGTATTCAATAAAATATAGAATCTTAGTAAATTAATTCCAGCGTCAGAGTACGTGTTTGCGGTTATTAATCGTGTGAAACTTTTTAGGTCGCAGGGCTGGTGATGGGGTTGTCATTCGGGCCAGAGTCAAGGAGATAATATAGGAGAGAATATTACAACTTATTTTGGTATTTTTTTATCGCTGTTACACCTATAAGAGTAAGCAATCCTATAGATTATGTTTATCATTAGCATTTAGCAGATCTTATTCTCATCAATCAGTCACCTGTGGCTGTAGCTATCCCAATTGCGATTTAATCCAAATAGTTTTTGAAAATATACTAAAACCGGCACAGTAAGTTTTTTGCATAAAGTCACATATTATATAATATATTATGTAGAAAAAAGTACTCTAATGTCGTTCCAAGATGACGATGGTTTCTAGAATTTATAGTCAGAACACACTATTTTCATAGAGTCCAGGTTCGCATTAGACATCAACTTGTATAATTTGTTTGCCGATATTTTTCCCTGTCATCATTGATACAAATGCTTTCCTGGCATTCTCAAACCCCATCTCAAACGTTTCACGATTTCCCAATTTTCCTTCCTTAAACCAAGCTTCAAGTTGTACTAAAGATTCTCGGAAACTACCTACCTACACATCCCTAACAACTTTGATTTTCCCACCGCGCTCAAGTAAGTTTTTAACTTGCCTGGTGTAGACAGTAGAGTAACATCCGCGGAAAAAATGAACATGCATGCACCTGAGTTCAGGGGCCGCGGAACGGGGGGGGGGGGCAATGGGGTCATTGGTCATATACAAAAGTGCCCCTTTTGGCCAATGCCCGTCCACTTTCGAAATGCTTCCACGACCTTTGCCTGATTTCAACACCACAACCACCAGATGTTAGAACATAAGCCATATACATTTATCGAAGAACTGGATTGAGTTCTGAAATATCACCTACTGTACTCGAACCAACTTGACCTCGAGAACGTTGGACTCGATGGTCGCGGTTCGATTCCCTCTGCACCGAAATCATATTCTTCCAAGACAATTCCCAAGAAGGAATTAAAATTGAATCTAAAATGAGCTCAACTCGTCAATCTTCGTCTTAGTGTGACAATAAGAACGTCCAATAAACATGGTTCAATTAACCACTGAACAGAGAGCATTCGTATTCAAAAGTTTTACGAAACAAATAGCTTGCAGCAGACTCGCGTTGTTTTTGAATTGAGTAACTTTGCATAACTAATGTATTTTCAATTCCCAACGGTGGAAGAATGTGATTTCGACCGGTAATTTTTATTTGTATGTGGCCATTTCTCATCGTTGCCATTTTAAAAATGTGTTATTGAAAATCTAAATAACAGCTCTTTCGTCCTGTGTAAAAATTCAATTGTTCGGCCAATTTGATGATGCACGACAGCCTGTTGAGTGTTGAATTTCCATAGTGTTTTTTTAGACACCCTCTATACCTGTATAGGAATCAAGTCCCAGGCGAGTGCCGGGGAGTTTAACGAAGCGTTAATTAATATTGGCGGATATTTAACGTGGTGCTATATAACCGCCAATATCCACTTCTCAAATTCATGTAGTGTCAGTAGTGATGCGTTTTCAACTTGTTCTGAAACTTAAACATTGAAAATTACTTCAATATCTATACTTCAATGTTGTATTTCACTTAAATTTGACATGTTCAATATTCAAATTAACATCAATGAGGGGAAACATGTTGAAGACCTTGAAGTTTATATGTCTCAAGTCAATTCCATGGTTGCCCACCCCCAACCATAGATATACCCCCAACCTTTGTGCCCCCAACGGACGTTTCAGGGTCGGGCATTCTCAACTGTACTTGTTCCCAGGGTCGGGCATTTGCTTTCTGCAGGTTAGCCCCGGGGTGGGGAATTTGCTCGAGGCTAAATGGAATTTGCTCGAATATTTGTCACTTGTTTTGCCATTTAGCTATTCTTTTTACACATAACATACTGTTGATACATCGACATAAGCCCTGTTTAAACGGCAATTACTAGATAGTATACTTCAAAATAAGGTTTCCGTTTTTATATCAATTTTTTAAATAAGTTAGGGTTAGGTTAGGGTTTAGGTTAGGGTTAGGTTGGGGTTAGGGTAAGGGTTAGTATTAGGGTTAGGGTTTAGTTTTGTGTTAGGATAGTTTTTTCTGCGTTATAAAAACGGAAACCTTATTTTGAAGTATACTATCTAGCGATCACCCTGTTTAAACGGATCCAACAATCCAACATTGTTGGGCCAACATCATCCAACATTGTTGAAATAATGGCTCAAACGGCTTCTTTTTCAAATATTTTGTCAAGACTAGGTTTAGGGTTTGAGTAAAGCTTATCTAACCAAAAAGATTTGAAAGAAAAGCAGTCATATCTAGTATAGTAGCATTGTTGGATGATGTTGCTCCAACAATGTTGGATCCGTTTAAACAGGCCTTTACTTCCGCAGTTTGTTATTGTTATATAAAGTTTTAAGAGGCTTCAATATTTTAATTAGGCCAAATAAAAAAATACTTGGTTAGCGTCACCGCCCGCCTCTCGATTTGCTGCCGCCTCTGAATTTTTTTTTATGTAAATCTCTTCGTTTTACAGCTTAAAACAGTTTAATATTTGAAATTTTGAAATGCTCAGACCTTCGCGCTATATACTGATCGATAGGAGCGCGTAGGCTTGGGTATACAAGGTTCTTAAAGCAAAATGGCGGCCTTCGCAACATCAGTACAAAAAATATCACCGATATGGTGGAAAAACCGCCCCTCATCCCCTCCAAAAACACTATTAAAAAATTAAAAAACGAGTAAAAATTAAAAAAAAATCCGCCCGCCCGCCTCTGAAAATTTGTGAGAGTGTAGATAGAATAGACAGAAACTTTATTTATACACGCTGACCCCGTCAACCGAAGCTGATTTCCACGGGGGGCGTGTGCAAAAATAGAAAAATGTTACATGGAGATATTAAAATACTTAAGTTTAAAAAGGTAGAATATTAAATTATTTACATGATAAGAAGGTTATTAGAATATTTACAGTTACATCAATTTACTCTATGTCAATTTTGTGAGCAGCGATTTTATTTCTAAAGGATGAAAGAGTTTTGCTTTCCCTAATTTCCTTTGGAATAGAATTCCAAAGGTGTGCTCCATCATACATGAAACTATTTTTCATGTTGTTAGTACGCGGTTTTGGTAAACTAAGACCGCTTGAAATGTCACGAAGGTTGTAGCTTGAAATGTCACGAAGGTTGTAGTGTGACGCTAACCAAGTATTTTTTTTTATTTGGCCTTAAAAACGTTTTGAAACGAAATGGCTACAGAATCGATTTTAAATACAGATATATTAATACGAGATAGAGCTTGCATTCGATTTTTTGGATCAGAAATCTTCAGAGAACTTATATTTTGTCCCTAACGGTGGGACATTTGCGTCGATGTAAGTCCCCAAGGGTGGGGTTTTGTTGCATTATTTGGACCCCGTAGTGGGGTACTTGCAATGGTTTTTCGCCAAAATGACAAATGCCCGGGCGGATGGGCATCCATGGAATTGATTGAGCCATTAATTAATTTGATATGTTCAATGTCGAAATTCTCTTCAGTGACCGGAAAGGCGGAAACATTCACTTGAACATGAATGCGGAATCTGACGCCAATACTCGGCATCGCCCATCCGTGCTTTCAAGGAAGGAAGCGAGCTCCGCTATGGGAACTCCAGAACACGTTTTGGGGATCTAAAGAATTGAGAAAGGTAAAAGCAAATTAAGGATATAAATCTTTTATATCTAGATACAATAATTTTCAACAAAGTGGTGACGTAGAGATAATGTAAATACGAAACTAATAAATATCTGTAGACTGTATAAACTATGTGAAGACCTATGGAATTTTGTGTAAAGCACTTGATTTGTAGAGGTATTTTTAGACAAAAAGATATCTCTAGCAGTTAGATTAGACAGTAGACTGCGTTCTTTGCCTTGTGCGCGAATATTTTGTGTGCTTTCAGACCAGAAAATCGAAAATGCGTGTATTTTAATAGTTCGAAAGAATTGAAAAAGCTCGCACAACGTGCGACCATATTTGTCAAAGATTTTCAATATGGCATTGACACAGAATAACAGAGGTTTGCTGTTATTGTCAGTAATATAGCAGCTCCAAGAAGCTTAATTTCTATTGGCTGAAGCTTTAATAGGGGTGGCAGAGGGTGGCAGCCAATCGGAGGCTGGACAGCTGTCACGTGAAAAGCTCGACCAATGAAATCGCGCTATTTTCCCATAGTGTTTGCGAAGATTTTTGGCCCGTCAAATTTGCATTGACACAGAAGCACTCAAAAAATATATATAAATATTAAATTTTTTCTATCAAAATGCAACCGTGGCCTTAGTATTATAAAAGGACTGGCGATATGTGCAAGAATTTCTGAGGTAAACGTTATTTTTTAACCTGTTTTCGATGATTAAAGTTGGTCATGTGGCAACGTGATGACTCAAGGCCGATTCTGTTTACAACTTTCAAACTAAAAAATCTGGATTTCCCATGGTTCGATTTTCGTAATTTGTGCAAAAAAATTCAAGACAAATGTCTAAACTAAAAATCTGCTGGAGGGATCCCCGAGATCCGCTGCAGATTTCGAGATATTTGGCATTGAAGTGACCATACTCATTTCAACCTTTGCCAAAGTGGCGTCTAAATATCTGGGGAAGGTATTGCCACAGAGGAAGTATATATATTTTTACTCTTTGGTATTGTGCCACCAAAGCTTGGTTTTCACAATGAATTTTGAAAGTTCCCTAATATTAGGATAATTTTTCTTTACAGTAAGTGTTTAACTACTTTTGAAAGACTATTTAGAAAACTTTGGGAGTTATTTGCCTGTTTTTACAGATTTGTAGTAACAATGCATTAAATTAATACAGTTATCGTGTTAATAATTTTACAGTCAAATTTCCGTTTTGTTGTTTTTATTCTTGTACTGTATAAATTTTACATAAAATACACTGAACAAAGTTATGGCGCCATTTGATCCTATTGTGTGTGTATATGTACTGTGTCACTGTGATACATATGTACATGTTTTGAGTTAAACGAATTGTTTAATACATTTTTGCTGAAATATCATGCCTGTTTGTATGGATAGATTTTACATATATGTGACTGCATACAATAGTTAGATATTTTTCAATTTTCATCTGTAAAATATTGCCATATTTGTGTGTTGTTCTAGTATTACTGTAAATGGTGACACACTTTTGCATTGGATTGCTAATTTTAGAGATTACAGTGTATGTATAAAATAATAAAATAGAAAATTTCTTGTTATGATTTTGTAGATGGTCATGATGGATATGGTAATGAACTAATGAAGGTGATAAGGCAGAAAGTGATGACCAGTTAAGTTATGAGGATTAAAGTGACGAGGATGAAATCACCCATACTGTACCATTCAAGTGAATCGGTGCTGCTCATGAGAAAAATTACCGACATCATTTGGAACAGGCATGCCTTGCTCGTCATGGACAAGATAAACCAATGAATGTAAGAATACAGTCAGAGCCATTGAATCCAATGGACCCAAGTGCAATTGATGTAGACTATGGAACTGGATGGACACATGTGATGTTGGCTATATTGCTTCTGAATTATGCAAGTATTTGCACCCACTAATTGCCGCAGGAGATATCTTAGAGGTCTATGTTCAGTATATAAAGTATAGGGTTGACTTTTTTTTAAATAGGATTTTATCTAAAATTTTTCATAAAGTGACATGATCAGTGGCCAGAGTGGGAGACTCAAGTGGTAAGGAGGAGCATGAGTGTATGTTGACAGATGTTTGTGATATAATAGTAACTGACTAGGTTTAGCAAGTTATACAGTAGAAATGATGTTATTTAAATTGTCATTTTGGCCAACTTTTTAGATTTTTTCAACATTTTTACCTTTCACTTTATCGCCAAACAAAAATAATTTAATTTACTGTTGATGCAATGGAAGTGTTGATAAAATATTGCATGAATTCATTTCGTCAAGTTGATAAATTCATACGAATTCTAATTTCTTTTTACTTCCTGTGTGTTTCCTATTGGTCAATCGGTTCTGAAACGAAATCTAATTGGCTCATTTAAAAGTAACAGGAAGTTTATCAATTTTCTATCAAATGAATTGATGAACTTGAGGAAGGAATTGGTGCAATATTTTATCAACACTTCCATTGCATTGACAGTAAGCAGGTGGGTATCTATAAGAAAACAATATCTGTCATGTGCACTTGTGCAACTCCCTCAAAAATAGCAATATTGGGTTTTTTTTAAAAATAATAATTTATTATTAGGACACCAATATGGTTCTCATTAAAAAACCATGTGCTATAAATAAATGCATCTACCTATTTCGAGACTGAATATAATTTATTTTGTCAAGCCATTTGAAATTGCTGTGACTTTGTGTAACTGGCCTTTTGCAGGAATTAAACCTAAACCCTAAAGCACCAAGTGACCCATCCCCAACAATAAAATTACATCTTACTGTCAATTTCAATTTGTCTTTGAAATCTGACCACCAATGTTTATTTGTATGTTCGGAATGAATGTTGTAAAGTTTGACTGCAGGTCGTTTTAAATACCAACCTAATTTTGTGATACTCTTTCAAGCTGTGATGAAATTTTTGTATAGACTTGTTGAGATCTAAATTTTAGTCAAAAGGTGAAAGGTTAGTGAAAAGCCACCTTAAGTAGGGGACTCCACGGAGATTCGTTTGGCTGTATCTTACATGCGGTTGGCCTCCTCCGCAAGCATCTCTTAATCGTCGAGAACTTATATAATTTAGTTATTCAAATAACTGAATCAGAGTGATGTTTTTATTGGGTTACCTTCTAGGTAAGCCCATGAGATTATAGGTAAGCCCATGAGATGCCTGCGGAGGAGGCTAACATGCAGTATCCATGAGTATGAGTACTTCCGCACACCGGAAGACGCATTCGCATGTTGTGGTGTGCATGTGAAGTGGCGACAATAACAAAAAAATGTAAACAATACTTAAGGTGGCTTTTCGACTGAAAAATGACTGTAGGGTCCCTTTAATAGCGATTTACATATGAATAATTGGCCATGCTTTCAAAATGTATATATTAATAAAACACAAAAGTATCTTTCAAATATGCTGGGTCTTTACTACTTTTTAATACGAAAAGTGATCAAAAATCAGATTATTGAAATTAGGAAGAGTTGCTCTTTCAAATGATACCAAGAAAACAAGAAGGACCCCAGAAACCAACGAGAAATCATGTTTTGAAAATGGGATGTTTTTGTCATATTCATGCCGCTAATGTAAAATATATAAATAAACTAGCCGAATAATATATGACGTAATAAAACAGACAATAAATGCAAAATAACAGTGATTTTTATTTAGTGTAAGTCAGTGACAAAAAATGTTCGAAGTCAAGTTTAGTCATTCAGAATATGTAAATTAATATCTTGACAGACTTGACTAGTATATATTAATTATTTTAATAGTGTATAAACAAATATATGCTTGTTTATGGCCATTCTTTTAGTGTCCACACCTCCCTGTTGACAATGTTACTGATTTTAGACCCCTTCGGAAATGGTTTTCCAGAAGAACCCCTCGGAAATTTTCTTAGAAATGTTTTACAATTTTTCTCAAGCCCCTCGGAAATAACTGTTGACATTGTTCCATTACGATAGACCCCCTCGGAAATTTTCGGGAATTTATTCACCTCCCTCAGAAATTTTCAGGAATTTATTGACCACCCCCTCGGAAATTTTCGTCAACAGGTATACCTTCCTTCTCCCCACCCCCGGAAATTAAAAAAAAACTGACCCCAGATATTTCCCTTTTTATACAACCCCCCTTGGAAATTTCAACTGACACCCCGTCAGAATTTCAGATCCCCTTCGGAAATCTAGTCAATGCGGATATTAAATGGAATTGCCCTTAAAGTGCTACTGCAACGAATTTTTCGACCTCATTTTTTTAGCTTAATCAAAAGTGCTTTCCTTCCTAACCTGTACCACAAACAGAATGAAATTGGAATTGGTCAATTCAAACCGATTTTATAGCCTTCCAAAGTGGCCATTTTTTGCACGTCCTGTGCGAACTTTTGATCGGCCATTTGATGCTATGTGACGTCATAAGATTTCGTCACCATTGTTTGATTGCTCCAACACAGTCACAGATGGTATTTGCCTATCTGCAGCGGCATTAAATTCATTAATCTCTCTATCACTTCGTCTAGTGAAGCTGTATAATAGCTGATAGGCAACTGGTTCATTGTCGTATTTGAAAGCCGACTTAACCGAGTCCATACTCATTGGCTTCTAGATGCAGTACTGACCCTATTATTTGAGTCTCTATCAAACCGTCATTCAGCCGTCAAATAAACAATAAGATATAGCACTTGTTCTTCGATTTTTAAATGCGCCATAAGGCCACATAAAATATATTCCTTGATTCTTATCACCGCCCGACTGTATTTTAAGGGACCAGTCATTATTAATGCCGGGTAGGGGGCCGGAGGAAATTTAGAGAGGCCACAAAAAATTTTTGACCAGTGAAGGGGGGGGGGGAGAAAATATTTTGAACATAAAAGGGGGGGGGCAAAAAATAAAATCTATGGAATAGTTTGTAACATGTAATATCAAAAGAGTAATGGATATATACAATATACAGTATACATACATACATTGAACAGTAATGCCCAATATATTGAACCTAAAAGTTGTGTTCTAGCTACTGTATATGGAAATTGTCATCCTCATCATCACCGTAGAATTTGTCCGAAGGTCATGCACTGCATTTGCAAATGCAATTACATTAAATTGACAGTTGTTGTCCTGTTTTACACTTTTTAACACAGTGGACCTCTTTGGCATGTTCTGTCTCTGCATGTTGTTGACAGTCTGTTCTGCCATCTCTTCTAATGCTTCCACCAGACACAAATGTTTTTTTATCAATTAGTAAAAGACTAGGCCTGATGTGTGATTTTTTTGTTTGAGGGCCTTCGTCTATTGTGAAACTAAAGTCACTCCTGTCCACCTCAGGGCCTTTTTTAACATACAAGCCCAGTCCCCCCTTGTGCCCCCCCCCACGAAATCACATCCCCCCCCCCAGGAAAAGTCCCTTTTTCCTAAAATTATAACAAACAATCCAGCGAAGATTAACAAATAGATAAACGGAAAGTAAGTTTTAGGCTTTATCCTCTGTTCTTGTTTAACAAAATCGATTTAAATTGTTACTTTTTTTACCACTAAGCCATGATTGTTAATATTTTTTTATCTTTTGGATGCTCAGAATGCATGAAATTTCACGGTTTCAAATTTCAAAAATTTTCTTGGGATTATCCCTCTAATAAGTAATGATAAATTACAGTTAATATTCTTTTTTACTTTTTGTGCATTTTTCCATCTTTTATTTTAAATACAACTATAGTTAGCATAAATTTTAGAGCAAATTTGGATGCTCAGAATGCAGGAAATGGCATTAATTCCGTGGTTCAAATTTCAAAAATTTTCTGGGGGAGTACACCCCCATACACCTGACCATTGCTATCCTCTAATAAGTAATCATAAATGATGGTTAATTTTTTTTTACTTTTTGTGCGTTTCTTCCTTTATTTATTTCAAATACAAGTATAGTTAGGATAAATTTTGGAGCAAATTTGGATGCTCAGAATGCAGGAAATGACATTTCCGTGGTATATTTACCACACACGTGGCTTTCAGCCATTGCTATCCCCCTCTAATATGTTATCTCACAGAAAGGTCCCTTTTCAAAAAATGCCCCCCCCCCCCACGGGAAAATCCTTAAAAAAAGGCCCTGGTCCACCTTGGCTATCATTTTCAATATTTACAATATTCTTTACAGCTGCAAGTAAACTGAGTATGAGGGCAGGAAAAATGCTTACGAAACTGACTTACATTCATTGAATTCAGAATTGCGGGGGGGAAGGGGGGCTATGAAATATGTTGCCTCAAAAAGGGGGGGGGATAAAATGATTTTGTTAGAAAAATAAGGGGTCATGAAAAATTTTTGCTATTCATAAAAATTTCCTCCGGCCCCCTACCCGGCATTAATAATGACTTGTCCCTAAGGCTAAAAGCCGCGTGAAAATTTTTTATATTTTGTTATACAATATAAATGTACCGCCCGACAAAATATTTCAAGACAGTTGGGTTTTTAGTGCCATTTTAAACTGCCAATTTCAAACAAAAAGAACCTTGGAAGAAATTTCATTGCATTTTAAAGGAACTTCGCATTCAGTTCAAGGGTTCAGTCATTAAAATACAAAACAAGTGAAACTCCAAAAATCGATAACGTGATTTTTATTTATCTACGTTTCGACTATATTTCAGTAGTACTATTACTATTTAATATCTTTTACTATTACTTTTACTATTACTATTTAATATCTTTTTTATTATCTATTTTTTTTTATTTATTTATTTTATTTTTTATTTTTTTTACTTTTACTATTTTTTACTAGTTTATCCTGATGATGACTGAAATATAGTCGAAACGTAGATAAATAAAAATGTTATCGATTTTTGGAGTTTCACTTGTTTTGTATTTTATTAACTGAATACTCAGTGGTTCTAAAAATGTTCAGTCATTGTTCGTGGAGAAATATGTTTATTTCGGTTTGTCACACTTCTCTTTGGAAATCACAGAAATATTAAATGTTAGGAATTACTTTTATTTATTGATATATAAATTATATAAATATAAAATATAAACCTCCCGCCTCTTCGACATTTTCAAAGTGTAGTGATGAGAATCAAGGAATTTATTTTATGTGGCCTAAACAAGTGAAATAGACAAAAATTCCACTGCAACCTGTTGACGCGCCATATACTGTAATTTACTACAAATACAACCTTCATATCTTCGTTTCTGTTCATCTTATGACACAATCTCGTTCCCAGAGTATGCCTGTTCGCGAGTTAGGTAGTGGCATGACTCTGAGGAAATCGAATTTTTTTTATCCAAAATGAGATAAATGGCGCATGCGCTTTTATTGCTTATGTTTGTTCCGCTTACTAAATTCGCGTGGGCACACGCTCACAATCGATATATTTTGTTGAACAGATTCTCATCAGAATATAGTATACAAAATGGTTTTTTATACGTTTAAAGGTGCTTTAAATCGCACAACTATTAAATTATATTCAATGGCAAATATTGAAAGAGCTATTAAAGCAGCTAAATTGCAGAATACCCGTCCACTAGTAATAATATATCATGCAGCTACCATTTCACTGGTACGCGGATACGTGATCCGAACTTAAGCAAGGAAAATTGTCAGCGGAGAACATCAATAGATTAAATTCTCATGACGTGCAGTATAATTGAAAATGACGTAATGATAAGATAGATGTACGTAGTATTTATTGGATACGCGGATACGTGGCTACGAAGTTAGACGATGCGTATAAACTACGACAATAAATACCATATCTTATAATTGCCTCGTTCTTTAAAAACCTCATTCCACTTATAAACACGATGCATATAAACTACGACAATGTATAAAAACTACGACAATGATACCACATCTTATTGCCTCGTTCTTTAAAAACCTAATTCCACTAATGCATATAAACTACGACAATGTATAAACTGCGACAATAATACCACATCTTATTGCCTCGTTCTTTAAAAACGATGCGTATAAACTACGACAATAAATACCATATCTTATAATTATTGCCTCGTTCTTTAAAACCTCATTCCACTTATAAACATGATGCATATAAACTACGACAATGTATACTAAACTACGACAATAATACCATATCTTATTGCCTCGTTCTTTAAAAACCTAATTCCAATATAAACACGAAAGATGCATATAAACTACGACAATAATAAGATATCTTCTTATTAAGATATCTTCTTATCAACTTATATACACGAACGATGTCCATGCATATAAACTTATAAACACGAACGATGCGTATAAACTACAACAACACTGAAATTTAACACCATGCACACAAATCTATATATTACTGTATTTGCTTTTTATATTTTAAAACCAATTTCAGAATATAACATATTTTAGCTTATTTTCAACTATATCACATATTTTACAACACTTCAAAAGTTCACAATAACTTTTTTTAACATCCCAAAGAAACATTGAAAACAAGTCTTTTCCCTTAAGTTCGTAACGCCACAAAAACTCAGCTAAGTAAGAAGAAAACGCAATCTTTCGAACACCAAACGATGGCATTTTGCATTTGGCCTGCCTCCAGTGCCTTTCAATTTTGTTCGTATGATCTCCATCATTGTTAACAAACTCTTTGGAATGGTTCACTAAGCGATGTTCATACCCATGTTTTTCTAAGTTTATATACGCTTTCCAACAGTCTGATACTATGATTGAGCCTTTCGCAATATGCCTTCCAATTATCGGTAATAACGTGGACTCGTCTCTTTTTTCCACGGCTATACCATAAAACTTCGTCTTGACTCCTCCCCGATTCCCCCAAAGACCCACTGACCTTCCACACGATGTCCACGATGATACTTTCTCTTTCCAAATTTGCTTTCGTCAATCTGCACAATCTTGCCAGGACCGCCACGCCAATTGGATGTTCGCGTTCCATAAGTGTAACTTCGCACGTTTCTCGACAAAAGCTATCCCAGTCAACTGCTGTATGAGCGGCAATATTCAACTCATGTCGTATTTCGTCTTGTCTCACATCACGATTCACGGCACCACCAATAAGTAAACTTCTTCAAGGGTCATGTTGCTTTTTTCAAACCAGCTGCCTTTCCGAATTGATATCTCGATCTTGTGCCTCTTGCCATTCACGCTTTTACGGCATTCCCATTTGTACTTATCAGAGCGGTCATCGCATTTAACAAGTTTCATGGGAAGGTCACAGTGACAGCAGAGTCTACTTTTTGCAATTAGTCCTTCATCCATACACCATTGTATGATTTCCTCTTTGCTTCTGAGAACTTCGTCTCTTAAACGATCATACGTCCAGTGTTTCAACTTTTCCTCACGATTGTAACTGTCATGTTTTTCTCCGCCACACTGTGTACCCACGCTTTTCACTTCCAAAGATGAAATCACTGTTTGCGTTTCGGTGTTTTTCTTCCACGTTTTGGTAGATTTAACGCACACTTGAACCGCCTTCTCCATATGAAAATTCAAACAATATTTTATTGAGTATAGCAGTCTCTTTAAAACCATGCAAGTGTCATCTATTGTCATATGTAACTCTGATGATATGTAATGACACTAAAATGCCCATTACTTTTGAGATAAATGCATTAACAGACATATCACGCATATCATATTGCAAATTTTTGCGTCTCAACTAAAAATATTCACAGACCTGTCACCATAACAGCTTTGACTCTTTAACGGTTCACTTATACGTATATACAGCAATTTCGATAATCGATATGGCAACGAAAAATCCTCTCACAAAAATTGCTCGGCAACACGAAGTCACATGGACGCAGCTGCAGAAAAGAAAGCAGATGTCCCGTACATTTTCCAACAACTTTTTCCTGATGATATGGAGACCTTTCTACGCCACAAAGCTTCGTCCATCAATAGCTCCATTGGATACATCGTACCTGCCCTGCTTTCAACAACAGCTTTGTCAGCGAAAAATGGTTGCAGAGTTGCCACTGCTACTCACGAGCAACCGATGAACATTTACACGATATTTGTCGGTTACCCCGGCACTGGAAAATCGTCAGCAATTCAACACGGTTGTTTGGGACCCCTTGCATCTTTGTTGGACAACGAATTGAGCAGCTTCATTCTTGACAGACATAATTCCTCCAGCTTGGTTAAACACATTTCAACGAAGCAATCAACCTTCATTGTCTCTCCTGAAATCTATGACGTCCTCAATAAACTGCTCAAAAATGATGAAGACAACGCGAGCGGTGACGCGAGTTACTATGTACACTTTTTTCCGGCGAAGCGTGTTCTTACACATACTCCACAGAAAGCAACCGAGATATTCCAGCCAACACTCCTTTCGCTATCCTCGGCTGCACGCAAATGCCAAATGCAGCCGAGCAACTTGCAACTAATCGCAAGAATGGACCAAGGACAAGGCTTGATCGACCGCTTTCTGCTAGCTGTACCAAATGCTCTTTGCTCAACATCAGACGAAGTTGAAAACGCAAGAGAACACCTCAGTACTGAACCTGAAGAGTGAAGATTTCCTTAATCAAGTTTTCCACTACATCAACGAGTGCCAACAAAATAAAAAAAATGCTTATGAGTTCCACGATGAAGCTAAGCAATTCCTGAAGAACAAAAAGGACGTCTTCGTCGCGGAAGTCAATGAAGCAATACAGAACGGTTCTGTCATCCCACCCAAATCAGCTGCACTCCATGTATTCA